CCATGGCAGATCTTTATTCCAGAAGGTTTCTTTTTTCAAAAACAGAGAAGTGACAACATCAGAAATCATACTTTTAATCTTGATTGAAATACTAAACAATTAAAGGACAATTTAATTAATTACAACCAATCATCATTATTTGCTGATTCTATATTTTTGAATTTTCCTACTTGCTAACATTTATTTTTGACCCCCCCAATCGATACTCGTGTCCCTTTTGGGGTTATTTGTAAATATGTGGAGTGGTAAAAATTTGGAATCAACCAACATGCAAGGTCCCAGCTGCAGCTGAACAAGGAAACACTGTTTTCTTGTTTCTGCTTTCATACAAGTGTCCTTTTTGTGGTCTATTTAGTGCCATGTTTTCTGCAGTTTTGTGCTTTTTTGCTGTTGATTTCACTGTTTAAAATGGCCTGAAAGCACAGTGTTGAAGGAAGTGCTGTCTAGTGTTCCTGAGCGCAAGAAGGCTGTGATGTGCCTTATGGAGAAAATACGCATGTTAAATAAGCTTCATTCAGGCGTGAGTCACAGCGATGCTGGCCATGAGTTCAATGTTAATGAACCAACAATATATTAAGTAAGGTTTCTTAAAATGGTAACACACATAAAACAAGGTTATGTACTGATCGGTTGACAAAAAGTCTGTAACGAGAGGCCTGCACAGTATAACCCTATGTTTCCCCTGAGAGCAATGGTTCAATATATGCTTATTCAGTATTTGAAGAGAATTTATAGAATATAACTGCCATGAATAATCAGAATTAACTGTACTGTATATATTTATTAAATGGCCACCCAGTACCTAACATGCCAAGAGGTGTGAATGATGAGAGAATTATATATATTTTTATACAACAAAGAGCCCAAAGCTGTAGCATAAACAAGTCTAGTTGGAGATAATCAAATAGGAGACATTAAAATGCTTCTGTCCTGGGTATTCCATGAACGTGGTCCCCGACTCAAGGATAGCCAATTAACAATTCCATTTAATATCTTGCATGTGTTCATCTGTAAAATCAGAGGGTTGGACCACAGTGCTTGGCAAATAGTGGACATCCAATAAATGCTCTGTTTTGAAAACCCATAATTCTACAGTATAGTGAAGATGGTATGACTAGATAGCCAACTTCCGTTATCACAAAGGGGAAATTGACATAACCAGTAGGAAAAGTGTTATAATAAGGAACTGGAAGAGCTGAGACCCTCTACCTCTAGATCTTAGTTTTTCCAGGCTTGAATTTTCAAATTACATATTAAAACTTTTTACTGGAATACACTCATTCAGTGAGAGATTAGTAAATGTTGATGATGATGATGCCTTATTAGGTAGGAGCTCAAAACCACTAAGTTGGAGTTTAAGAAATGTTATGCCATAATTTACATGATGTCTAAGAAAGTCATCTATCTTTTCAGGTGAGAAAATTTGTACTTGTAGTCAGAAATTTGCCAGCGTTTTTTGCAAATATTAATAACATACTTTTGCAAAGTTTTCAGAAAAAAAATCAAACAACTTGACCTTTTAACATTAAATTGAAAGAGAAATTTTACAGAAGCCTGTACAATTATATTTCTACTAATTTCCCAATTTACCTACTTATTATAAATCATTTTGCATATATAGTTTT